TATTAACATTATTTTCAACCTACAGTAATCTGCTTGTTTTGTTTTGTCAAGTAATATTTTCTAATTACAATTATTTATAGTACATTATGTAATATTTACAACTATCTTGTTCCCCTCCATTTAAAAGTGTTATTGTTTTAACTATTTAAGAACAAAGAGTCTGCTTCATTCTTTGGGAAACTTTATCCAATTAGTTGTCTCCTTATTTTAGGCATTGGGACCCATTGGGTCTAGATAGAGGGCCCCCTATACCTCTTCACAATATGCTTTCACGTAAAAATATTTTGCCTTTTCACGAGTCACGGATTAAGAAAATCATCGATCACGTTTCACGGCTAAGTAAAATAAGCCCTTCACGCTTCACGCAAAAAGTATAGGGGGCCCTCTAGATAATCAATCTAGTTTATTAAAACAATCACAGTTCCCAACAGTTCTCCATATAATGTTAACTATTATGGCTAAATGGGTTCACCAGAGACATGAGCCCATTTAGTAAAATTGCCTTGTATTAGACAAAGTAAAATAACAAAGTAGAGCACATGCCAGCTAAATGGGTTTACAAGAGAATATGCATATAGTCTGCTTAACATATTAATGTTTCTCCTACACTTCTCTGTGATGTGTAAATTGGCATAACAGTAGACAGAGTAAAATAACAAAGTAGGACATTGTGGCTCGACCCAGTGGCAGACACTTTGGAAAAAAAAGGGGGGGAATTAAGTTACAACATATGACCACATTTAGTAGCCGGAAATCTTAGTTCTTTCAACTTTCTTGCCCTAAATTTCATGCAATACTGTATGTAGTGATAAATTTTTCCATGGTTGGAAAATTGTTGTAAGTTTTGCTTTCTTACACTGTTATTCACGTATCATTTAAAGGTTTTCGCCAACATGCCTTTGTATGAAAAATGACGACATTTGGGAATGTACTTCAACATTAGTGAATGGTAGACTTCAAGATCGCCGGTATGATGAAATTCTGTGAGTTTTTCAATATCTTTTAAAAGTATTTTATTGAGAACCACCCCTTCTAGTGCTACCGTATGCTGCAGATCCATCCTCTAACCATTTTGTCTTCCTTTCCATTCTTCTAGAGAGATGCCCATGTCCACACATTCGAAAACGCTTGCCATTCTTCCATCTGTGTTTGTTAACCACATGATTCAAGATGGAGACCCATTTCTCATGTAAAACTTCAGCAACACCACCACAAGTCTGTGAACACCACCACAGATGATTGGACACAGGTTGGATCCATTTAAGAAGCGATTCATTGATCTTTGTCTTAGCTTTCTTCCCCAATTTTTTTTTAATCCACTTCGACAGATGCCACACCTCATACTGATGGATTATGGAGGGGTATTTCTTCCTCATCTCTGATGTGATCTGGGTATGGCGATCAGTTGACAAAGATCTTATATGGACATTTTGGTCAATGACTTTGTTGAGTGACCTTTGACAGCCTTCATTCTCCATTGCATTAGAGGAAGAAACTTCCGAGACTTGCACAAGGGAGAAATCTATAATCTTCCCTGAATCTTCGTCCATCAAAGTGTATGTACCATATTTAGCACTATGACCAGGACTATCAGATCGACCATCACCGCATAAATTGGCTGCAGTATTCTCCTTTTTTATTGTTTCAATTACATCCTTCCGTTGTTTTTCATAGGCATTGTTGATGACTGGGAAAACAATCTTATCCTGCACATCGTAAAACTGGTCTTTATTAACAAAGTTTAAATTAAGTGCATTAGAAAATTGTTTCATAGATTCATAGGATCCCCCAGTAATGACAGTTGCAGCAGGAATCAAAATGTTACCAGCTGGCTTGTTATCTATCTCTGGTTGTGATCTCCAGTGAAAGGTATGGTTGTTACAACATGTTGCTTTGATTACTACCATGCTACCAGTGTTGGACTTTTCAATCTCACATAGAGAACCACACGTGTTACAGTTGATAAATAGCTGATCAAGCATACTTTCAAACACAATAAATTTTCTTTCATTTTTTTAGTTCTTCCTCGTCAGACTCATCACTAGTGTCTAATTCTGAGCAAATATAATCGTCGTCACATCTGATGTGTCATCCTCACTGCTACTGCAAATGTTCACAATCTGTTCAGAATCAGATAGTGTCATGTTTGTGTCCATTTCTTTCCTGACAACTGATGTTGAAGGGGAGGTGACAATAGGACCATTACAATATAGAGCATGGATAGTGGATGATGTTTGTCATTTTGTTTCCATCGGTGTTGAAGGAGGAGTAGGAACTGGACAACTGTTATTTATATTGCGAACAGTAGAAGAATTTTTTTTATTTTTAGATTTATTTTTACGTTGGGCAAGAGTTTGTATAGCAATACTCCGTTTTAATATTTTTTCATACTGGACCTCTGCATCCAACAAAATCTTCAAATCTCACTGTGTTTCTGCATCGTGACTTGACGTACTAGGTAGTTCTTGTTCAATACATGTATTGCCCATTTCATGCTCTTCGCTGTTTATTGTTAGTAGGCTTGCTACTTCCTGCAAAGAAATCCACGTTTTTTGCCACTTTTAAATTAAAATAGTCCAAAAACGTGGCTACGCGGTGGACCATTTTAATTCATTATTAAAGTACTTATGGATCAAACCGTAAATCCTCTATCCCCCCCCTGCATTCATGTTAATGACTAGATAAATAATTTACCCCGGACGCTAATAATGTTGCTTTTCTGTGGTTTCATATTAAGCTATAACCCTATTCTATTGAGCCCACCTTGGGACTACCCCCCTCCCCATCCAACAGACCTGAAAAGTAAAGCTCTGGCATCCATAATAGAGAATATACAGTAAATTAGTAATTGCCATCCCCTACCATAACCTTTATAGATTTTGCAATCTAGTCTGTTCACACAGAAAAATACATTTCTACAGTAACAGAAATTACCTCGTCTTTCGCAATTTTCTCTCTGCTTTGTGCCCTCTTATATGATAATTTGCGTTCTGGTTTGCGATGTAAAAACGGAAATATCGATGGAACACTTCCAGATTTTAGAGCATTTTTCCCTTTCATGCCAAATAATTCTTTAAGAGAACCCTCAAAACAATCTGGGGTAAAATGAGCACTGCAAACATAGCACGAATTAGCTTTTGGCAGGTTGTCACGACAAACACGTCTGAGCCATGTTCTTCGCATTTGCTGATCATTTGGCAAACGATGATACGATATATCACTCCCTTTTGTCTTCTTTGAACAATTTGTGCAACCAGGAATCGTGCAGTACGGCATTTTTCCGAAATAAGTCTGACTTCCCCTTTAAGTAAAATCTTGTAGAAAACACACTCAAACATGAAACAAACTTCCTTGACGATAACAGCAATGGTACATATCATGAACTATGTATTTATTAAACTACAAATATTGACTATAAAATGAGTTATAACTTATCTGAAACAATTTAATACTGTATAGGTGACAACTGTCCTCGCATCAAACTTTTATATAACGTCCAGTTTAGATATAGCTCGGCAGTCTATTTTACATTGAAACACACGGCTGCCTCATCTTGGTTGTTTTTAAACTATTTTTGACATGTTCTGTAACGTCTGTTGTTTACTTTTCAACTTTGATTTCAGTGATAAATATGCTGAAATAATTAGATTCAATAACCAGATTCAATGCCCCCCGTTACCCCGGAAAAGCTGGGCTTGTCTTCAAAGAGCTCGATGATTCACCGAGACGTTTCCTTGACTGGCGCTGGTGCACTTCCGCCTCTGGTTTGCTTTTGTTGTTGTTTTGTACCACTATAATCCTTTTTCGCTGCAGAGACCATCGTTCAGCACTTGTCTTGATTTTATCCGTAATGGAAAATTTTCACGGATAATGCTCAAATTTTCATCCGCCAGTTCGAATGTGCATTCAGCTGGAGAAATGTGATCGTTTAATTACATCAGTGGATGCTGACATGGTGAGAAATTTTTTGATTACTTTTTTAAAAAGACTTATGAAGACATATTTGTCATTTTGCATAGCAACAAGCTTAGGATGGATAGTTATCCAATGGATAGCTATCCACTCTGCTATTCATGCATCATACAATGCATTCTTGTCCAACGAATAACTACTGAGGCCAATTAATGCTTGGCTCTTGCCTGGCTCTGCCCATGCTTGGCTTGATATCTCCATGCGAGTTGCACACATGATTAAACATATCTGGCGTGTTGCTATTTTAGTGAGTTTTGGCGTTCGAATGAAACTGAAATTGAATAAATATTTGCTGTTGGATTATGTTAGATTCATATATGTCCAATATAGCCATCGGTTGTCAGGTGGTGTAAGATGGTGTCAGATGCTTTGTTTGTCAGACGCTTGTAGTGTGGTGTCGGATGGTTCAGCTGAACAGCTGTTGTCAGGTGGTGCAGATGGTGTAAGATGGTGAAAATGGTTTATGGTTTGTGCATATATAGTTTTGCCTTGTTCCTTCAAAACCACGTATATATCAATGAAACCTACCAGACAAATGACAAATAGGCCGTCGTCTGCCATCGAAAAATGTGCCTTCTTTCATAAAGTCACGGAGGAGCATGCCAAATTGAATATTAAAGGAACCCCCCAATCATAAATGTGCACAAGATTGAGAAATCGATGTTATTCCGTCGATGACGTAATCTATAGTAATGAAAAATAAAAATCTTCGAATTTTGAAAATTTTATAATTCCATAAAAAAACTATATTATACCGACCACCTTCAGACACTCGTTACTGAGATATTGCTTACCAAAGTTTAAAAAAATGCTGAGTCAGCATTTTACTGATTTTAGACATTCTTATCTACCGTGTGTCATTTAGGGCTACATTTTGTGCAATGTAAGCAGTTTTAGTGGCCAGAAATCTGTGAAATGTGAGTGAACGACTAAAGATTCAAATTTTCTTATAAAAGTTAAAGTTGAAGTAATACAATGCATCTATCCATTTTAATATAAAAGTTAATAATGTAAGCATCTACAAAAATTCATGACTTTGAATGAGAATTGACAGTGAATAGTAATCATGGCCAGAAATCACGGACATGATTTATTCTACTTCGCAATTTGCATATCACGTTGAAATATGGCTTCTGGAGTAAACAGTAAATTAAAGGCGGTTTACACGACAAGCGTATTGGGCACGGCACCCTGAAAATGGACACCGTGCCAAAACTCCCACTTCGCTATTTACTCGTTTACACGACAACTTTTTGTAGACACGTGCACATTTTTATAACAAGCACCTTGCCCATCGGAAAAAAGCACCTCTACTTTCCGTTTACGACGGTATATTTTAAAGAATAAAGATGTTGGACAGAAATAGAATTATATATTTATATTTATTGGAATGAGCCGAAAATCGATGAAAAAAATCATTCAATACTAGAAAAGTACTTTAAGGGCTGTTCATATGCATGGGCAATTAAAAGTTATGTCGGTTAGCAAGAAAACGTTTCGGCAAGTTTACAAGCGAGATCTCGCCTTGGTATGAAAATAATATAAAAAGTTAAACTGCGTTCATATGAGACAGAAAGTTTTCCGGTGTACCGAGATCTCGCTTGTTGACAAGCCAGATCTCGTGTTCCTATGGGAAAAATATTATCCCGTTAACTTTCCCGCTTAAGCCAGGCGCACACACTGCGATTTTAGTCGGCCGATTCAGGTTTAGATGGATGTTTTCAGCAAAAACAATCAGTGATAGGATCTGTGGGCTCATCTACATCGCCAGATTTGCCAATATCATACACCTAAACCTTAAATTGGCCGACTAAAATCGCAGTGTGTGCGCCTGGCTTTAGCGGGATAACTTTCTGTCGTGCATGGCAGCAACTTTTCAATTAAATTGATGTTCAGTGCTACGTTACAGCCGGAAACTTTACCCGGCTCGATGTCGAACACATTTTTATTTTTTTCGAAACTGAGTTTGGGGACGGCACCGCTTGCTAGATGTGCCGTGCCTAAAATTTTGGGCACGGGTGCCCATTTTTAGGGGTGCTATTGTCAGTGACATTTTCATCTTCCCATTCCATTTCACTATCACTCTCGCTATGATCACCGTCCCAATAAAATTACTTAACATTTGATCATTCACTAAATCTTCAGCTGAAAGACTTTCAGTGTAAACAATTTCACTTCTGTTTCGAATTTTAGGCGTATAAAATACAAGCTGTGGATACAACTTTTTCAGTCTTGCTTTCAGCCTAAATTTTGGAAAACGTCTTGCGTCAACATTTTCAATTTGACAATTTTATGAATCTTTCATACAAATAAGACATGTACTCTATTTTCTTCTGCTTGACAAGAGGGTCAATTACATCTTTGCAAAATTGCTCAAAGCCAACAGCATAATGAAGAGGCGATTCTGTCTCAGTGCAATTTTTGGTGTAACTTTTGTAACTCTCCTGGTGATAACGTACCACACAATCTTTATCACGTATTATACGAAGAATTTTTTCATCCTTTTTAGCTGTTAATAGTATAGGATAGAATAGAAACTTTATTTCACGACGGAAAACGTATTAACCATAAAAGTTATCTAACATACGGCCCTAGCACTATTTTGATATTTACAGGCATAAAAAGTATTAAAGATTACGACTATTTACATATGAGAAAAAATTAATTAGCCGCAATGAATTTTACGAAGCATTCCTGCATTTTCCGTCTCGCATAGTATTAAAGACATTCTCTCTCGTTTTGCAGATTTCTGAAAGAAAGTAATATATGTTTGAATGTTCAATGTTTATACTGAACATATTAATAAATTTGTGTAATTTATAACGGCCAGTAAATCGCCATGCAGTCAAAATAACCGGTCAGCACTATTCTAGCTTGGTTACAAACTGTTTTTGACGGGTCACTAATGCCCAAAAGGCCAACTAAAGGAAGCAGTAAGTGTGCAATTTTTGTATAGCTAAGCTTGCAAATGCGACCAGAATATATAGAATTTACATTCTTTTCATGGAGAACGAATGTTCGCGTAATTCGTAACTACTAGACGCTCTTGCAATGAAATTATATGTACCTGCCATGAAATATACAATCTTTCTCAAACACTTCTGCAGAGACAATCCTTTTAAAATTATGTCAGAGGGCATAAAAATGACAAAGCGCAAAAGCCGTATTTCGCTGATCGTTGTCCGTTGACCGGCCGTTATAATTTGTGAGCCCTACATGACAGGGGTTTATACATCTGCATGCATTTCAGCCAAAAGTATCACAATTTTGGGAATATAGTATCAGTGTACCATATTATTTTGAAATAATCTTTCTCACGTGGTGTCCATAAACGTGAAAGGCTGATATAGGAATAATGTATAAGTTGCAAAATACTCACCATTACAAACTGATCAGTATCCTCACAAATGATACACTGGACTGGCAATATATACTGACTATACTTGCCTGATTTGCAGCATTGTGGCACGACGTCTTAAGTCGCATTGATATTCGTTGGTCATTAGGGAGTGGTCATTATTTATGGGGAGGGGGTGTGGGAAAATGGAGGGAGGGGGCAAACGAAGTTTACCCTTATAAATAGGGGGGTCAAAAAAGTTTTAACACAGAGAAAGGGGGGGGGCGTCAAAAAAGTTTTTGAACTTAAATACCATGTCTAGAGTTTCAGATTCGATCTATAAAGCACAATGTAACGCTGTATATCCAAAAATCTGCTTCAGAAAATGCTCACAATTTCAATGCTCACAATTTCAGTATTATGTTTCATTGCTGTTAATTTTTCAATCCACACTGGGGGGGGTCAGAAATGTTTCTACTTTTATGAGGGAGGAGGCACAAAAAGTTTGTCTTCAGTCTGGAGGGGGGTGGGGGGTCAAAAAATGTTCAATCCTTATTTTCCCCATTTACCAACCCCCCTCCCCTCCCCATAAATAATGACCACTGCCTTAGATGCTGCTAGTTGTGTTGACCAAAATTTTTCTTCGGCTTTCTTGATCTTATTTTCGTCACAAGTTTGCTTATAACAATTTCCGTGCATATACCATTTGATTTCTCTCGTGCCAATAAGTCATATTAAGTGCTCATCTGAAAAGAGTTCAGGACTTTTTCTGCACATAGAAGCCTTATTTCCTTCTAAATTAATCCATCTTTTATGACAAGATATCACCTTGTTTAATCGCGTTTGCGAAATCAACGATGTGGATTGTCTTACATGTTCAAAATGAATTAAACAGTGAAATTCGATATTTTCAATATCAACATCGCCCGCCATTTTGAGGCTATAACCATGGCAACAACTAACTTTT